TTTTAAAAAAAAAAAAAAAAAAAAAAAAGAAGCCGGTGGTGGATTTATGTTGTCACATGTTTAGAGATGTATCGAAATGGAATTGTGGTAAAATTTTAGATTTCAGGAACGAGGTAGTATTTTGGTTGATATGTGTTGAATGTTGATGCTGTTCTGCGGCTCCGACTAGGGTAAATACCCCACTTGGCCACTTGCTTGAGCATAGAAATTCTGCTTATTCGCAATTTAGCCAGTTAGTCTATAGACTCGTTGAACTACAACTTAAGAATAAGACTACATTTCAATGTTTTATCATCATTATGAATTATCGTTTCGAGTCTGTTCTGTGTTTTCCAAAATCGCATTTGTATTTGAAATCAAAACAATCACAAAAATAAAGTTAAAAGTTGGAATTCTACATGAACACTCTCCGACTTCAGAGAGAGACAGCTAAAATTTCACAAACCATCTCACCTCACGAAGGAATTTAAAACACGAAATATAAAATTTGATTGTTGACAGTTTAAACCCTAACTCCAAATTGCAAATAACTTGCAAAGTAGCTATGAGCTATCTCAAGACTCAAGTTCATCCAGGCAAAGGAACTCAGAAACCCAGTCCACAAATTGTGGTTCTTATGATACAAAATATATCCAAAAGAATTCCGACTTACACAACTTGCCTAAATTCCAAAGAATAGTTCCAGATAATGTACAGAGAACTTATGTAACGAAGAAGATGAAAAAGAACAATATATCCCCCCACGAAATGTACAGGAGTTCCTGGAGGCACAATGTGCTTTTCCTTTGTGAATCCATCAGGAAAGACATGTAAGGTGAGTTCATGATCCAAGTGGCAACATTCTGAACTATCGAGTGGCTGCTTGTCTAAATTACGGGATCCTGAGCTTTCAGGGGTAGGATTTATCTCATAGTCAGCAGGTGGATTTTCAGAGCCTCCCCTATCATCCTCATGTGACTTGTCAGAGTCATCTCCGTTATTTTCTTTGCTAGGACTTCCTCCAAGATCACCTTTAGGAATGTTGTGAACCAAATCTGGCCGAGCTTCCACACCAACGCGCCTAAGGTGTAACTGCCATGATATAGACAAGTTAAAACATAAATCCGTAAACCTGTGAAATAAGTAAGAGAAGTCAGATTTAACAAATACCTGAAGATGCAAGTTGACTTCATCCGGTCTTGAAAGAAAAGGAAAATCTCCACCTGTTTTCAAATGTGCACGCCTTGCCTCAGGATACCTTTCACCCAGTTGATCTTTAAGTTGTTGGGGAATTGCACAGTAGTCATTAGTCTTTGAGAAAGGAGGAAGACCATGTAAAAGGATGTAAGTGGAGTAATTAAAAACTTTATATCATACTATTCTGTGTCATAACAATAAATATTAATGAGAAGGAAAACAGCGCTGGACATTATCTTCACAATGTCACAAGCAAAATGTATATAATTACGTTGATGGAAATAACTGGTGCCAGCAGAATTTAACATAACTAGCGTGCAATGGTATAACTAAAATATAAAAGCTTGCTAGCCACATCAAAACAATAAGACACCAATTAATCTAGAGATTGAATAGTTAAGATTTATTTAAGAAAAGAGTCATGCAAAAACAAACCGATTATAGTGATATGCAAATTACGACTTGAGATGACATACATCCATTATAGTGATACATGAATCCGAAACAAGAAGAGGTCCCACTGAAGCATCATCAGTTGTCAGTGACAATCTGGAAGCCAAGTCTTCTCTAGAGAGGGTTTCCACCTATATATCAAGTAAATCAAGCAAGGTCCTTAACACAATTTATGCAAACATAAACGAGTTTCTTATAAATAGGATATAGATTAGCATTTTAAGGAAATGTAGTGTCTAGGGGTGACAAATGAATTCATTTATCCATCATCCATGCATAAGTAAATTCATCAAATCCATCCATTACAATAAAAATAAATAATGGATCAAATTAAATTCATCTATTTAATTTTATAGATGGTTAATGATCCATCCACTAGTTTTTCAAAATTCATTAGATTAATATATCGAGTGTTTATTGGATTGATGGACTGAGATTTTAAAAGACTATTTTGACATAAAAAAAACCCTTGTAAATTTTAAAAGACTATATGATAATGTAATAACTTATAAAGAAAAGAAAGAGAAATACAATATTTTTAAATTAAAAATTATTTAATTTTTAAAACATTACTTTTAAGGATGGATTGGATATCCATTTATGAAAAAATTGCTAATAGATGTATTAGATGTTTTTTTTTTTGCTTTAAATGAATTGGATTTTATGTGAATTTTTAATGAATTATTTTTATTCGGTCCATTATGATCTGCTTAAAAATTTATCCGATCCATTCATTTGTCACCTCTAAGTGTGCCTGAGGATAGTTGACTGGTCCCCACAGTCTAAAGTACAATGGATACTATTTATTGTTTCAAAACCAGAAAAAAAAAAAATCTTGCGTACTGAAAAGGCACGAACAGCAGATTGCTAATATGCATTAGATTATGCAAGACAACAGATTACCTGAGAAACAACAAAGTCTACTGAGTCTGCAATAAATGGTTCATGGGGACCATCACGAATTCCTGTTAAGACATACCGCTTCAGCAAAAAGGAAGGAGTCCAACTAACACTGGAGATGCAATAGTAAAGCTGGATCAGTTAATAGATGGAAAACAGAATTGATCTGATGAAGAACTATCAGGAAGTATAACAAAAAATTCCCAAGTAAGACAGGTGATGAGTTTTTTTGTTGTACAAAAAAGTTTAAGGGGAGGAGATACTGTATCCATTATAAGGTCAGACATACTATATGTATCGGCAAGTGCTCACAATAGCAATTATGGATGATGCTTAGTTTCATGGAATAATAAGGAGTAATTTATCTAATGACAAATAAATCCGTAATTTAGAAGATATTATTCTAGTTTCCTTGTGATTATACCTATCAGGCTATCATCATTTCCTGACAGTGCATGTAGCCCTACATGTATAGGTAAAGTAATCATTGATGCTTTCCTTTGCTAGAAATTTCACAAGGTCCGAGCACACATTGCAGTTTATCTTCCATAATTAAAATTACACAACCATAGACAGTTCGCTCATATAAAGCCTATATCTATTACTCTTTACAGTAGAATCTGAGAAAAGTACATGGGAGCCCATGGCATTGCAGCAGAGAAACTTCGTGTCTCCAAAAATGTGTTTGATAGAACTAATGACCGGACTCTTCTAGGACGATGCTGAGCAAAGAGCTGTGCTAGGAAGCCACCAAGTGATGTACCATAAAGATGTATCTGTAAGAGAGATTAAACTAATTTACTAAACATTTTCTCAAGTTGTTTGAGGCTGTCACCAAATAATATATTCTAACTTCAGATGACATTACATAGACAGAAATTTGGATATATTGAGCCATTAGTGGAAAGATTTGTTGTAAAAAACTACTAAAAACATGTATTGTGTAGTTTATACTCAACAATCATATGAATAATAGATTGGATGTATGGTTATAACTTTCCTTTTATAAGAAATTTCCCTATTGTTGATACTAGACAAAATTAACTTCCAAAAGATATTAATCCTATACATATACAAGTGATGAAAATACAATTGAAGGACCATAACTTAAGTCTTGACCAAACGAGACATATTTCCAACGGCAATCCACATCCTCACAGAAATGGTTGTGGTGAAAACATTTGGAATTTTATCCAAATACACCTAAAATTTAACTATAAAAACCATGCACAATATTATGAGTGACAAGTGGCTTGAACAACCATGAAAACTTAAAAAGCAGGCTAGCCTGTATCTTAGGCAGAATTGGAATATATTTATGTTCACATACTGAGTCTACAAATATACTGCAAAAGAACTTGGCTTCAAAAATCTGGTAAGGAAGGAAGATATATCAACTTAATTCAGTTCAAACAATCAGTTCATTGAAATTAACAATTTAAATTGAGAAAATTCAGAGAGGCCCACAAACTCAGTATTAAGCCTTGTTATAGTGTACAGTTCCATATTTGGGATGATACTCCAAGAATTGTAAGTAGATTGGGGTTAGGATTTAGCTTGTGCTTGTGTTGTTTGGCCTAATTACATCCTATATCATGTCACAAAATTTTGGAGACGTCTAGGAATCATTCCCTCCTTAAGGTTAAGGTACATGTGTATAGTATAGACTACAGACATCCCACACAATATCCAAAGTTGCAACATGTTCCCAATGAAATTAAAATGGTGCATAACAGAACTAAAAGCTTTTTCTATTATATATGAACACTAGAGGATGTGCGAAACTGAATTATAAGAACCTCAAAAGATTTTAACATAACTGTTTATAGTTAATACTAATTGCAGACTAGCTATGCAGGGCTTTCCATTCGGAATGACTAACGTCTCCAACATAGAATAAAGGTATCAAATTCTTTGATATGAAATTAAGCATAAGTAGCTTCAAAAGTAAAAAAATTATAGATTTAGCATCTATATGAGAAGACATCTAATGACTAATAAAATATGATACACAGAAAAAACACAAGATAATGCTAAATACCAGTTTTATGAGTAAAAAGTTGGTAGTAGAAAGCATGATGAGTTTGGGATCATACATGGTGTACATCAATAGCATCCAAGAACTTTTCAAATGCTTGAATCCACTCAGTATTATTCCACACGCGAGGTATGTCAACAGATATGACACGGTAACCCTGTACAAAATGAAAAGTTTGGTTCTTAGAATTGCAATATGAGGATTAATAAAAGTTAATACAAGCGTACAACCAATAAATAAACAAAACTCGAGTCAGCTCCTGTTGGCAGGCAATATACGATGAGATTTTATTGTATAGCGCTATTTATCACAAAAGATAATACACAATTTGTATTACTAATACACAATCCCCGTCCCTTTCTATCAGTTATAAGAGTATAATATGTACCTATTTGGATAAATTTCTCCATAAATACTTCTAGGAGAGAGAATAAGAAGAAAAATGAAAATGAATCCCTTCATAAGCTAAAATTAACTTATGCATAAATTAAAAATAAGATTTTGGAGAAGCTAATAGAAGGGAACTTCTACAAATTAGCATATGCATAAGTTAATTTTAACATATGAAGAAACTCATTTCTTTTTTCCTTTCTATTTTTCTTTCTTCAAAGTACTTTTGCAAAAGTTTACCTAACGAGACCCTATATCAAATACAAAGATGATGAACACATTTTAAAAATACACACATATCACAACAAGCATCTTTTACGCACGATTTATTAAAATCCAATTCATATTTTTTAGCATTTAGCTTTATTACTGGTAAACCACTTAAATATCCTAAACAAGTTTAATCATTAACTATACTTAATCCTGCAGTTAGCTGAGTTTCCAGGTTATTGTTCTCTCTTGTTTAGCAGCAGGAGAACTGCAAACGATCATTCTCTAAGTCAGCTATCTATTGCCTAGCGAAGCTCTTGTGCGTGTTTGGCTTTGCAGCACACAAAGAGGGAGAGGGAAAGAGAGAGAGCATATCAACTTAAAGGAGAAACATGGACGATGTGTCGGTCATTTCAGCAAGCACAATTTGGAGGCACCAAATCTTAACAATTGGATCAAGCATGTATGGCCAAGATTAAAACATAAAGTCAAGTGAGTCATTAAGTGCTTCCAATATCGAGTATTGATGTCAAAATTAGTGGAAACACATTGGATGTGATAATAGTTAGGTCATTTCAAACCCCACTCTCACTTAATGGCGATTAGGAAATTGCAAGAAGCAGTACCTTCATAGATAACGACATGATCTGTTTATAGTATACATCAGCGGTTCCCGCCGTTCCGGGAAGACATATAAGCGGAGGTACAACTTTTGGACCGAAATCGTAATATCGCCACTGCTTAGTGCCAATCTGTTAAGAGAATAGTGGAAATTCCGAATTGATTCATTCAGATATGGTATGCAATTGTAAAACCTAAAAGTGTGGAACTGGAAGAAAGAGAGGAAAATAGAAACGTACTGGGATTTTGTGAAGAGGAACTTGGGATTTGAAGTGTACGTAATCACCGGGCGCCGAAAAGACGCCTTTCATGGCTAAAGCTAATTCGCAACCTATGCCAATGCCAATGCCATGACTATCCTTCAATTCCAGCTATGACTTTGCATTATTGGGATTGCAGGCACATGCCTTCTAATCTATGGTATGGACCCCTTGATGTGAAGTTAAATCATGCGCTCTACAATTTACGCTACTAATAACAAATCGTAATTAAATATTATATAGTTCACTCTTTTTTTCTTTTTTTTTTCTCCTTTCATTTTAATGGACTTTTTCGGACATGCACTTATGTGGTGTTTTATGACTTGGTCTCACCTTCAAACGAGACAATAATTCCTATCGTGATTTTTTTTTAATGAAAAATAACGAGGTTGTCTCGTTTCAAAGTATGCTAGCTTCAACTGGTCACCAATAGGAGTTCATTGAAAGGGAAGTTTGTGATGTTATGTTTCGTATCAATTATTTTCAATTGGATACTCTTAAATAACTTTCAAAGGTTATGCTTTAATAATGTAAAATAAATAAATAAATAAAATCACTATTATATGAATTTTAACTATTTTGATATCGAGGAAGAGTTATTCTTCAACTTAGTTTCACAGTAGTTTTTGTGATTATGACTATAAATTCAAGAGAAATTCAATAGAAACACTTGTAAGGATTTCGATAGTAAAGTTAATAATAACTTTAGTTATTTGTAAAAATAAGTAATGACAAGTACTTTTGTGAATGAGTTCTCTTTCACAAAGAATGTTCAATAAGAAAATTAGTTACATATTTACATTTATTATAAGCATTTATACAAAGTGAAATGTCTTAAAGCGAGTAATGTATCAAGTGAAAAGTGTCTTGTAACAAATGTCGAGCTAAATATATTATGTATGAGTATATTCACTTATCATTAATTGTAAGTGAGATGGTAGTTAGGGAGGGAGAGCTAAAGATGTCTTCCATCATAGGAAGAAATTGTAGAAATTATATTATTTTAAAAATGAATAATTGAGATATTTCTTTACTTTTTATTTTTCTACTTTTTTCCTCCACTTTCCAAAATTTTCTCTTGACCTCTCCTCTCATGACTTTTAAAATAATAAATTTGAATTTAACTTAAGTTTGGATTTTTTCCGGTACACTCTCTCACGTCTAATATTATTGAGCTTGGTACGTAGATAAATAGTAGGTGACCTTTTTGAATGATCTAGAACATGTGACTTTTTTTAAATGATCTAGTATAACTCTGATACCATCTTAAAATAGTGATTTTAAACTTAACTCAACTTTACAAAATCGATTTATAAGATAATGGTTATTTTTCACTTATATACCCTTTAATTGTCTTATTTCTAATTGATGTGAGACTTTGATTTTTTTCCAATAACAACAATCCCAACAGACTTCCTTTACTATTTTAGCTTTTTGCTTGAGCTATCTAATAACGAAATAATATAAAAATAGTTTTAATTAATAGTTATAAATAATATTAAATTCAAAATTAATTACATTCTTTATTTTAATATCATTAAGTACTAATTAAATATAATTAAATTTTGCTAATTTGATTAGATAAATAACTATATATTTGTTAATATAATTAAATTCATAAGGTTTAATCCAAATTTCTATCACTAATTTTGAGTATATGTTGAGAGTGTTTTCCATGCGTGTTGCCACTGGATAAGTGAGGGTGTTTTTCTTCCATCTCTTATGATAGAAACTAGAAAGTCTACAAAATTCTTGCCAAGGTGCTTGCTGATAGGTTAAGGGAGGTTATAGACAAATGTGTCTCTGAGAAACAATTAGCTTCTGTGGCCAGGAGGTCTATTATTGATAATGCTTTGGTGGCTTTTGAAACCATGCATTACTAAAGTGTAGGAGAAGAGGAAAAAAAGTTGTTGTGGGCTCAAGATTGATATTAGTAAGCCTTTTGACCGTATTGACGGGGATATCTTCAAGTTATGATGCTTAAGCTTGAATTTCACAACATCTTTGTTAATCGGATTATATGTTGTGTTTCACGTCAGCCCAATTTTTTTTTAAAATTTTTTATTTAATGTTAATGATGATGTGGTTGGGCCATTACTCCTAAGCGAGGTCTTCAGCAAAGGGACCACTATCCCCTTATTTTTTATTGTTGGTGTTGAAGGGCATTTGTATTTATACTATCCGTACTGCGTAGCCGAGCTCCGAGCTCGGCACCATAACGCAAGTTGACCTCGGACACGCACCGCGTGATATCAGCTCGATATTTAAGCGAATCATAACTGATCCCCGAGGATCTCGCCCCGGACAAGGTCTGTTATCTAATCATATTACACCTCATCTCAGGTCACGAAGATGTTCATCAAGATCAGTGGTACCATCATACTTATCAATGGGTAAAGATTTTCAATTGTCCAAAAGAGAGAGCTGCATTATGGAGGGGGTGAAAGGGTGTCGGTGTGAGCCGATAGTTGTCAAATCTGCGGGCCGACCGACAGTGGGTAAGGCCGAAGGGTGCTTTTCAGGTGCTACTGCCGAGGCACGAGGGACCGATGTATGGATCGTATGGGACTGGTGCGACCCTTGAGTTTGCGTATTGGTGACCTGAGTAGGTTTCCATGAGGTGTCTTGATTCCTTAGTGCCTCATTCTCAGCTTTCAAGGCCGAAAGCTCCCTAGCATCTTTTTCTCGCTGTTGTTTCATAGCCTCCATCTCTTGTTTCAATAGACGGACGGTTTC